GGCGGCATGCAGCTAAGATGGCTCGATCCAGCAGTCACAGTATCACTTTTTCCTTACTTGAAGAATGATCTGATGGGACATGGACCTGCGCATAGACTTTTGAAGTAGATTGGTGTAAGAATTATCCTTGTAGCACCAACCAATACTGAGATACACACCGACAACTGGATTGACAGGACTTCTGACTTGATGATGATGATGAAGATGAAAAAAGGTGGCTGAACAAAACGGCCGGTTCGCCGATTTTTGACTTTTCGCTTAGACAAGGTCTAGAGCCACGCTAGTGGTACCATTGGATTCCTCTGGTCAAGATAAGGTCCTCTAAGAAGTCTGGTAAGCATAGGAGCTCGTTTTCCCGGTATAGCAGGTCTGCAAAAGTCGTGGCAGCCATTTTGTTTGGGGGTGAATCCTACTTAGTAACGCTACCGCGTTACTAATAGAAATTACTGAAGAGGCTAACTGTATTAATTGTAATGGAAATCTTTTATTGGAAGTGAGTAAGATTCTTGCAGAAGTACAGGCTAAAGGTGAGATTAGTTTTTCCTTTTTTTAGATTTTTTGAAGTGTGTCAAGTTATGGTTTTGTTTGTTTATGATTTGTTCATTTTGTAATGTGTGCATGTGGAGCCTGAATTACATTCAAACAATGTTTAGACATTGTGCCTGAATTTTGCTTAATTTGATCTGCCATTTTATGATGGTTTTCCACAGGATATTGGCATAGTCCTCATGCATCCTCTGGCTCTTGTTCCAGCACTTTAGTACAGGGTATTTAGCCAAAAAATCTCAAAGAGGGAATTCTCTATTTTTATAATTTTCCCAATGCATATGCATGTTTTTATATTGTGTAGAAAGTTTGAACTTCTGATCAAATTTAGATTTTTTTTACAAATTTTTAAAGTTGCTCAAAAATCGTGCCAAATCAAGTGTCCTTTTATTTTTAGGTGGTCCTCTTAGTATCAGTGGAGAGGTAGCTCATGCCATCAATCTCAGTGGACTGAGGGAAGTGTGTATTAGGAGAGTGGATAAAGATGAAGTGACACTTGATTTGGTTGAATTCATATTTAAAGTGAGTTATGAGCATGAACTCTAGCAGTGCATGTACAAGCATGTGTGATACTTAAAACCTTTATTGAACCTACCAACTGTGATGGCTGTAACATCCCTTTCATAACCAGAGAAATCAGATTCAGATTGAATTCAGAGACTTTTTTGATAAAATAGATGAAAGTTCATCCTCTGAGAGTCTTTGGGCTGATGTTGCTATAAGAGGTGTCTGGTAGCCACAGGGTACGTGCCTGTTTGATAAGAGTTATAAGTGATACAATGATGCCATAATGATGCAATGAGTCAATATTTGAAAAATGATCTATGGAGTAGAGGTCTTTATGTATGCACGGGCACAATATGGTGGTCTAACTATTATTAAAGTTAAATAGCCTAATCTTCATTGAAAACGGGTGTGGTCACAATAAATAAAATGGTGGCTATCAGCAAGTCTGAGTTTATTTGCAGCAAACTGTCGACTAAACTGCTGTCCAAAAGCTTCTCTAGCAATAAGGAAGGTTGGAAAAACAGATACAGTTTTTTCCTGGGTATAAAGGACTCTGATGTAAGTTGAATGCAAGTGAAAATGTACTGTATAGCCTAGCTGCATGGTGAGATCTATTCTAGGTGATGTTTCTTCTTTAGCAGCAAGCCTAGGTTAACAAGCAGATACACAATCTTCAAACATGATTTGTGCAGTGACTGCTTCTAAGCATCTTTAATGCTGTCAGTAAGATAAGTTTAATTCCTACAGACTGAGATTCTTGAGTGTTGAAGTGACTATAGATATACTGTATTAGCTTTATTGACATGTACAGTTGCTTTGCTTGCTCATGTATCATACAGCACATAGATAATCTATGCCTAGCTTAGGCTCGCCCCCTTAATGCATTGCATTCTCCCTAGTAAATGAGAATATATGTGACTATAATTGACACAAGGTACCCTATGGTAGATTTTTAATTCCATGATTTTAAT